GTGTTGTGGCGAGGGTGCGCTCAGTGGGTTCAAGATGGTCTCTGACGGAGCGCTGGGAGCGTTGAGTACTGTCTTGATCGGATGAGGCATTTACACCAACGACTGGATCTGTAGTGTTGCACGTTTTGAAGCTTGACGATGGGCCATGGGCCACCTCTGGCCTCTGCAGGACGCAGTCCCAGCTGTGCATGCCTGTGTGCTGGCTCCAGGAGTTTATTCTGGTCACCAACATGCATTCAGGAAACCAAGCACTTGGACTATCCTTTCCTGCTTTCCCAGATGCCTTAGCAGAGAGCTGAATGGAAAGTAGAGCAGCTGGGACTCGAACTCCTGTCCATATGGGATACTAGCACTGCAGGCAGCAGCTTTACTTGTTATGCCACAGCACCAGCCCTTTAGTGTTGTTTTTAAAATTCTTACCCATGGCCTGGCATGATGGCCTAGCGACTAAATCCTCACCTGCAAGCACCGGGATCCCATATTGGTGCTACTTTGTGTCCCAGCTGCTTCACTTCCTACGCAGCTCCCTGGGAAAGCAGCAGAGGATGGCCCAAAGCCTTGGAACCCTGCACCCATGTGGGAGATCTGGAAGAAGTTCCTGGCTTCAGATTGGCTCAGCTGCAGCCATTTGGGGAATGAACCAGTGTATGGAAAATCTTTGTCTCTCCTCTACAAATCTGATTTGTCTTTCCAATAAGAACAAATGAATATTAAAAAAAAAAAAGATTTATTTTTACTGCGAAGTCAGATGTACAGAGAGGAGGAGAGACAGAGAGGAAGATCTTTTGTCTGATGATTCACTTGCCAAATGACTGCAACGGCTGGAGCTGCACCGAACCAAAGCCAGGAGGCCAAGGTCCTGTCCTCGACTGCTTTCCCAGGCCACAGACAGGGAGCTGGATAGGAATTGGGGCCGCCAGGATTAAAACTAGCATCCATATGGGATCTCGGTGCTTTCAAGGCAAGGACTTTAGCTGCTAGGCTTCCGTGCCGGCCCAGAACAAATAAATATTAAAGCAACACACTTGCACCCAGGAAGTGGGAATCTGGCATGGTGGTTAAGTTGCTATTTGAGCATCTGTGTCCAGTATCACAGCCCCTGGGTGCAGTCCCAGTTCCCCAATCTCACTTCCTGATATCTGTGCTTCCTGGCAGGTAGCCAGTGATGGCTGACACCCACATGGGAGACCTGAACTGAATTTGGGATTCCTGGCTTCAGCTTGGGCCAGCCCTGGCTGGTGTGGGCTTTGGAAGTAAATGGAAAGGAAAAAGTCCACTCAGGGGCAGGCATTTGGCCAGAAAGTTACAGTGCTGTTTTGTCACCATGTTCCTTACACAGAGTACCTGGTTTCAACAACCAACTCTTGATTCCAACTTCCTCTAGTGCAGAGCCTGGGGGTGGCACTGTGTCTTTCCCTGTCTGTAAGCCACGTGCAGTGACCCCAGGCTGATCTTGGAGGGTGGGTCTGGTGTTGGGGAGTGGGCCTCGTGTGCTGACCTCAGCCTGGTCTTAGGGAGTAGGCCTCATGTGCTGACCTCAGGCTGGACCTGGAGGGTGGGCCTTGTGTGCTGACTTCAGGCTGGACCTGGAGGGTGGGCCGTGTGTGCCAGGGAGTTGTCCTTTGTCCTTAGCTGTCCCCTCCTCTACCTCGAACTCAAGGCTGGAGTGAGAAGTGTGAAATGATTCCTGAGAGACCAATAGAACCAGCACCTTTGAACTTACCTTGAAGCATAGCACCAAGGCCAACCAGTGAAGCTCACTTTTCCTAAGAAACCTGCAACTAAAAGAAACAAGAATGTGCTATAAATAGTAAAACCTACTGGACTGACCAGCACTGTGGGGGCTGTGGGGAGGACAGAGGTATGGTAGCTTGGCTAGCTACTGGTTTATTTGGTGCTGACGAGGTATTTGGTCAACCAGTTACACCATTTTTTCTGAAACAACCCAACTGTTGGTGTAGGCTGCAGCATGAAGGACATTTATGTCAGCATTCTGCCAGCTGCTGGGACGGACCCCCTCCCCTGCAGTGTGAGAGAGGCAGGGAATGCCATCCTGTAAGAGGTGTGGTTCCTGACATGCATAAGGTTGCATGAGGACACTTCACTGTATTTTTTAAAGATTTATTTTTATTGAAAAGTCAGATATACACAGAGAACTTCGCTGTATTTTAATCCTTGAACACAAATCCAAGTGTGTCTGTGAACAACTGCCCTTGAACTACAAGCAGGACTCCATGTGCCTCTGTTTCTCTATGACAGCTCTGCCGACTCTGGGGACACAGAACAACCTTTCACTGTCACTGCATCTCATTCGGCCACCTGCTTAGGATGCCACACTTAGTTTAGGCCAGCATCCTCTGGTTCTCATTACATCCATCAATTTCCTTCCTTTTCCTCACTGCACATAACCCACTGTTCGAATACACAGGACTACATGACCTCAACGCTTGTGCTAACTCCAATGCTGTGAACATTTCTGCATGCATTTCCTAGGTCCATTAGTCTTCCTAAGGGTCTATTTACACACAAACGCCCAGGCAGCTGCAAAGAAAACAGAGCACAAAGCACAGCCTGTGGCATTCATAGTAAGAGTGAGGCCGTTTGGCTAGCACTTTGGTTGAAGGAGAGGAGAATCTACAGAAGGGGCAGAAGGGAAGAAATCCCACCTGATCTCCCTTTGTCTCTCCAGCTCCCTCAGGGGAACCTGCTGCCCTGGTGCCCACTGCTTGGACAGTAGGCAGAGACAGTAAATGTTCATCTCATCAGTGACACTCAGGATCATTGGTGCTTCTGGTCTCTGGATTGCTCACGAGAATATGAATGTTACGCCTCTTGGCCATTTGGATTCCCTTTTGTGTTATATGTCAGTTTAGGCCTTTTGACTAGGGCAGGTGTCTGGCACTGTGGTTCACACACCATCTATGATACCTGCATCCTGAGTCAGAGTACCTCCTTCCAATTCCCACTTCTTACACTCCTGGGCAGCAGGAAACGATGTTTCAGGTCCTGGGGCCCTACCACTCACAGGCAAACCTGGGTGGAGTTCTGGCCTCCTGGCTTTGGGCCTGGCTCCAATGTGGCTGTTGTGTTTGGGAAGTGAACCAGAGTAGAAGATTTCTTCTCTTTCAAATAAACTTCAGAGAAGTCTTTTGACAGATTTCAATTAATTGTCTTTTCTTGTCCACAGGAACCATCTACACAAGTGCATTCTAGATCCTGGTTTTTACCACTATTTGAGCTGTATGTTCTCCTTAACAATTTTGTATTGGGTTGTGGTTCCTTTAACCATTTCCTGTAGTTTCGCTGTAGTTTCTAAAAATGTCTCTAATCAGTATAAAAACTAGAAAACGGATTTAATGCCTTAAAAAAAACAGCAAAAGATGCTGAGAATTGGGGCCTGGCGCGGTGGCGCAAGTGGTTAAGGTCCTCACCTTGCATGCCCGGGATCCCATATGGGCGCCAGTTCTAATCCCGGCAGCCCCGCTTCCCTTCCAGCTCCCTGCCTGTGGCCCGGGAAAGCAGTCCTGCTTTGGGACCCTGCACCCACGTGGGAGACCCGGAAGAGGCTCCTGGCTTCGGACCGGCATAGTATCGGCTGTTGCGCTTACTTGGGGAGTGAATCATTGGACGGAAGATCTTCCTCTCTGTCTCTCCTCTCTGTATATCTGCCTTTCCAATAAAAAAAATAATAATAATAAAAATAAATCTTTAAAAAAAAAAAGATGCTGAGAATTGAGGCAGAAAAACGTGAATGAACTCATCGGGGGAAGAACACAAAAGCAAGGAAGTACCTCTGCTTGTTGACTGATCAACTACAATTTTATTTTCAATTACTACTGAGAACTACTAAAGGATCACATTCAGCTAAATCACTTACTTACATGAAGATAATTTGGAATTTGCTCTAATGATAAAAACAATAAACTTCAGGCTAGATGGGAAACAGAGTGTGTCTGAATCAGCTTTGGTGGGTTTGGAATTCACCAAGAGCACCAGTGCCCTACTTGCTGTGGGGCGGCACACGAGCCCACAAGCACTCAACAAGCACTCAGCTGGTCAAACAATCTAGGAATTTCCAGGCAAGTTACCAGATGCTAATATATGTAATTTCCTTGCATAGTTAATGAGCTAAAACAAGAAAAAGAACAGAAAACAAAAACACAAGATAACAAGAGAGGTAGTTCACTGTGGTGAGCACACTGGCTTCCTTCTTCGTGTTCCAACTACATAACTGACTTTTAAAGAATTCACTGACAACACAGAAGTGTTTAGCATATTCAACTATATTTACAATGTCTTCTTTCACAACCATCAATAAAAGTATCCTGGAAATGCCTCTAAGATAAATTATATATTCTGATACACACTTATCTTCTGAACTGCACATTTTCACATTACAACGACCTTACAGTTTATCCTATTTAATACAAGTATGTAAAAAAGCAAACTGTCAAGAAATAAAACCTTGCTACTTCCACATATAAAACTACTGTGTATAAAGTGAATTTTCATTCATAAAATAATTATAAATAAGATCAAATAAATAATATTTTAAGTAAAGATCCATTTGACAGATAATATGGTGATACTATTTTCCTGAAGATTAAAAAAAAAAAAAAACAGGCAGAGGAGTTCTGCTAAGGTAAAACTTATCACAGAAACTATGATAACATTTTGGTGGTGAATGTCCAAGAGGCATCAGAAGATACCACAATCAAACAGCAGCCTAGGGTGCACAACGGACAAGTGCTTAGGGGCCACCGAGAGCCCTGACCCCCGTGGACAAGTGCTTAGGGGCCACCGAGAGCCCTGACCCCTGTGGACAAGTGCTTAGGGCCACCGAGAGCCCTGATCCTCGTGGGTAAGTGCTTAGGGGCCACCGAGAGCCCTGATCCCCGTGGACAAGTACTTAGGGGCCACTAAGAGCCCTGATCCCCGTGGACAAGTACTTAGGGGCCACTAAGAGCCCTGATCCCCGTGGACAAGTACTTAGGGGCCACTAAGAGCCCTGATCCCCGTGGACAAGTACTTAGGGGCCACTAAGAGCCCTGACCCCTGTGGTTTATGTCCAGTGTAAAAGTAACAAATCACTTTCTTATTTCATTCCTGCTTCTCTTTTTAAAATAGTCTCTAAAGGATTGATTTTCACTGATAATGGAAGTTCGCGTGTTAAGGCAAAGGTACACAGAAGTAAACTCGTATGTATTGCACATTCTTATAAGTAAATCTGAACATATTCCACATTCTCAGAAAAAAATGCCATTTAGGGAGGGATTATGCAGCTGTCTCCATTAAAGGATTTGTAAATTAAAATAAATTCATTGATTATAAAATATTTTCAATTAAAAGTTAACCCTAAAATATGCAATGTTCATTTAAAGAAAGTATCGATAGTCTGTGTGGTGGTGCTTGGCTTGGCTTTTTTTGACGCTGAGTGGGTTTTCATCAGTGTTGGCCTGGAATGAAAGAGAACATACAATCACAACACAGAAGGTGGTTTGTAAAAATTAATGCTGCAAATAAGCAGTTTTTAAAAATCTTATCTGAAGACTTAAAAAAAATAAAAACTTAATACCTACTATAAGATCTCAAAACATTGACATTTTAAAGCAATTATTATTCACTATTAGCATTAAAGAAAACCATACCTTTTTGTTTTTGCTGAAGTCTTCCGTACTCTGCTCGAACTGGTTTCTGAGTGAAGAAAAATCGAGAAAAGCCACAATGAACAACACAAATTAATTGAAAAGGTGCACAAAAATGCTGACTAAATGTAAAAAAATTCCCTCGGTACTATGTCCCTTTTACTTACACAAACTAGAAGCTATGCAGTATGATTTCCTCCTAATTTACTAACACTTATTCTCTCCTACATTTATTTTGACAATTGACTAGGTAGCACTACCCAAAGCAAATCAAGAGGTCTTCTGACCTTGGGGATATAGTTAATTGAATACTGTGTTTTAAAAATATTCTCTGAAGGCATTTTTTTTATTACAACACTCAGCTCTTGAAACTTCTGTGTCTTTTAACAATTTCATTTGATTTTTTAAAAACATAAAAAATCATATTGTTTAAAAGGAAATAGACTCACCAGCACTTCTAGAATTTTCTTTGAGTTGAGGAACTAGATTGTCCTGATTGTTTCTCAGTTCATGGATAACATCTTTATTTAAGCAAATATCCACATGCACGTTGAACAGGGTAAGATCTGACGTCTTCTGCTCCTGGTTACAGACAGGACACACCAGAGCTTGGCCTGCGGTGATCTCACATACGTCCGGGTGGGTGCACTCCTGCCCCAGTAGGTTGGCCCCTTGGCCTTCCCACGCAGAGTTGTGGTAGCTGTGTTGTGGGAGGTCAGCATGGTCCTCCTTGCTGCGGTTAGGACTTGAAGTGCCTGCACTTGGTGGTTCAGATGAGAGGTCCACAGGGCCTCCAGTGGCGAGGCCTGCACTCTTCTGTGGGGCCTGGTCATCCTGCTTCTCGCCACAGGAGAACGAGCAGTGTGCGTTTTCCTTGTTGCTGACTTCAGCGGCAGCAGCCCGTGACCCTGACCACACTCGGGAGGCCTCCCTGCCTGAAGGTGCCTCAAGGCATGTGTCCACGTGCCTGTTGAAGGCCTCCAGACTGATGCCTCCTTGCTCCTGACAGCACACAGGACAGGTAAAGGGGCCCAGGCTGAGTAGACTCTCTGATACCAGGTTCTCATTCATTGTCCTCTTTAAAACTTGGACTGTGTGTGAGGTCTGTAGATTTTGCTCATCTGTACCTTCACATTTCAGTGCATCTTGGTGACCCTCTTTCCTTTCCAATCGTTTCTTATCAAAGAAACTCTTTTTTTTAGGAGTGGTTTCTGGGGATTTTGCCAACAGGTCTGTACCCATTCCCTCTGGTGCAGGGCCTGTGGCTGGTGGGACTTGGTGTCCAGCCTGCAGGAAGCCCACGATGCTCCTTTGCTGCTGTTTCCTGTCCTCTTCACTGGGAAAACCGGACACCCGGACACCTGTGTTAAAACAGCCACAACCAGTTGGTCCCAGATTCCACAGGGTCAGCTTACCTGCAGTGCGCGCGTGCACGCGCACACACACACACACACACACACACAACATGCTCATGGAGAAATCAAACAAAGGATGTATTTTTCTAAACCATAGCTGTTATTAGGAGTAGGCATTTTCTTTATAAAACTGGGTAGCATTAAATATTTCCTGAAATTGGCATATATAGAACTCATTAAATAATACATAAATAACTGGAATCAACTATATATTTACTCCTTAGCTATTCTTAAATTACTCTGAAACACTTATGCACATTCTCTCCCCAGTTTACTTTTTTTAAAAAGATACATTTATTTCAAAGTAAGAGTTACAGAGAGACACAGACAGACATCTTCCATCTGTTGACTCACTGTGCCAAAATGGCCACAACAGTTGGGGCCAGGCTGCAGCCAGGAGCTTCCCCCAGGGCTCCCACAGGAGTGCGGGAGTCCAAGGACTGGAGCATCCTCTATGCTTTCCCAGGCACATTGGCAGAGAACTGGAGAGGCAGTGCAGCAGCTGGAAGCTGAACCAGCACAGGATGCCAGTGAGTCAGGTGGGGCTTTTCTCTAGTTCACTCTGGGGTCCTGGGGTCTGTGTTTCTATCATGCAGCATCTGGGAAAGTGGCTTCAGCAGTGTCACAGTCCTCAACTGACTTCTGAAAGCCAACATGTCTGAATATTGCACATAACAGATGAATGAATACCTAGGAGGGGATTTAAAGGTTTGTTGTTTTTTTTTAAGATTTTTATTTATTGACTTATTTATTTACTTATTTATTTATATTGGACAAGCAGATTTACAGAGAGAAAGAGAGTCAGAGAGAAAGAACTTCCACCTGCTGGTTCACTACCCAAGTGGCTGCAACAGCCAGAGTTGAGCTAACTTGAAGGCAGGAGCTAGGACTTTCCTTGGGGTCTCCCATGTGGGTGCAGGGGCCCGGCCATCCTCGACTGCTTTCCCAGGCCACAGGCAAGGAGCTGAATGGGAAGTGGAGCAGCCAGGATTAGAACCAGCACCCACAGGGATCCTGGTAGATGCAAGGTGAGGATTTAGCCACTAGGCCATTGCGGCAGGCCCCAGGATTTAATGTCTTAATATACTGTAAGGGAGTCTTGCCTTGCTATAGAAACAATACCAGGTTTTACAGTGGGTTGATGCCTCAGGTCCCTAAAACTTATGTCTCCATGTGCCAAACTTTGCTTTCTAATCTATGAAGTGCTAAATTTTGAAGTAAACCTTGCTCTCCCAATTTCAGTAAGCAGTAAGAAAAATAATTGGGGGCCTAGTGCGATGGCTGGATGGCTATATCCTCACATTGCAACTGTCAGGATCCCATAAGGACACCGGTTTATGTGTCAGCTGCTTCACTTCCCATCCAGCTTCCTGTTTGTGGCCTGGAAAACCAGTAGAGGACGGCCCAAAGCCTTGGGACTCTGCATTTGTGTGGGAGACCTGGAAGCAGTTCTTGGATCATGGCTTTGGACTGGCTCAGCTCCGACTGCTACCGCCACGTAGGGAATGAAATAGCAGATGGAGTATCTTTCTCTCAGTCTCTCCTTTCTGTAAATTTGATCTGTCCTTCCAATAAAAATAAACCTAAAAAAAGAAAAATAACTAAAATTAAATGAATGATTCTGGTTTCACATACATTAAGTCCGAAAGAATTAAGCTAAATAGCAGTACACAGTGAGAACTTGGTGACCAGGATTAAGAAACCCAAGAAGAGAGTATTCCAAAGCTGAATGACAAAATCCAGGAAAAAAAAGAAACTGAGTCATACCCATAAGTCTTAATCTTAAGGGACGTGGAAAATCAGCATCAATTTCAGTCCTCAGTAACTCCTTAGAAACAGCAAATATCTCTTCTGCAGTAGAAACAGGACAGGAAACTGTACAAGCTCGTGTCTTCACTTCAAAGTCCACATTTTTGAGCTTGATGGTAATGGTTCGACCCTGTGAGACACAGAAGACATTATGACACATGGTCTTTAGTCTCTGCTAACACATAAGAGTATGGAAGGACAAGTGACAACTGATGGAGTATGGTAATTAAAATGGGCCTCAAGGCCTGGCATGGTAACCTAGTGGCTAAACCCTTGCATTACATGCACTGGGATCCCATGTGAGTGCCAGTTCATGCTCTGGCTGCTCCACTTCCCATCCACCTCCCTGCTTGTGGCCTGGGAAAGCGGTGGAAGACAGCCCAAAGCCTTGGGTCCCTGTACCCGTGTGGGAAGCCCGGAAGACACTCCTGGCTTCAGACTGGCTCAGCTCTGGCTGTTGTGGCCAACTGGGGAGTGAACCAGTGAATGGAGGATCTTTTCCTCTGCCTCTCCTTCTCTCTATAAATCTGACCTTCCAATTAAAATAAATACATTTTTCAAAAAGCCAAAATTAGGACCTGGCATGGGGGACTAATGGCTAAAGACCTCACCTTGCATGCACCGGGATTAGAACTGGCGGCCCAGCTTCCCATCCAGCTCCCTGCTTGTGGCCTAGCAAAGCAGTCGTGGGTGGCACAAAGACTTGGGACCCTGCACCTGCTTGGGAGATCCGGAAGAGGCTCCTGGCTTCAGATGGGCTAAGCTCTGGCCATTGTGGCTGCTTGGGGAGTGAATCATCGGATGGAAGATCTTCTTCTCTGTCTCTCAAAAGTTGGAAGTAATCAGAACCCAATTTTAGCCAAATAATTTATTACTTGAAAGGCAGAATGACAGAGGGAGGGAGAGCCAGATCTTCCAGTTCACTCCTCAAAGACCCGCACAGCCAGGAATGGTTCAAGCTGAAGCCAGCAGTCAGGTACCCTGTGTGGCTAGGAAGAAGCAGGAAGCTGGACAGGTGGAACATTGCACCCCACTATGGAATGCAAGTCCTAAGTAGTGGATTGATCTGCTGTGCAATGAAATCTGTCCCAACTGGATTTTTACAAAACATCTTCATATGAAAAGGGCTCTGCTAACTAGTCGTTCCTCTTATTAGAGATGGATTCAGTAGCACAAAGTGTTGCCTCACTGACAGCGCCTCACAGACACTCAAACTTCCTGCTGCCCTTCATACAGACAGCATGGCAGACAACTTCTCAGGACTGACAGCTCCTCACAGACACGCTTCCTGCTGCCCTACACCACTCACCACGTCCGACAGCCTCTCAGGACTCACCGACTGTGCCTCCCTGACACTTCCTGCTGCCCTATGTACAGACACCACGATAAACAGTCTCTTGGGACTCAGTCTGCAGGCAGTTTTTCATGGGCACAGAGCTCTAGCTAGAGAGGATGAAAATGTTCTGGAGACAAATGGCACTGTCACACAAAACTGCTGATGTACTTAATGTCACCAAACCATACAGTTCAAAGGACTTAACTGGTGTCATCCATGTTAGATGTATTTTATTAGCTCTTGCAGATACAGCTTAATTCCTGCCCCTGTTCCTCAGGGGAAGACTAGGCTTGCTGACGTACTGCCCAGGGGAAGGACCATCTCTCACATGCCCAAGATGCCCAGGGGCTTCACGTGACCCAGGACAATGTGATGAGGCAAGTACTCCAGTCTCAGGATGACCCAGCTGAATCATGAGAAAACTGTCAGATGCACCAGATCTGGGCCCGCCTGCAGGACACCTGGCCAGTACATCCTAGGATTGTAGGTGTGCGGAAAACAAGACTGAAAAATGGAAACAGAATGGCTCATTTCAGTGCAGTTCCCTGGACGGCATCTCAAAAGTGAAGAGGTGCTACAGCAGCGTGCTCACTTCAGGGTTTCTGCTTCAACCTCCATACCACAGTCAAATGATTCTCCAGACAAGCTACACTGCTGCTTGGGATGGTGGTCCCTACCAGAGCACCCGGGACTGAGTGCCACCACTGTTTCCGATCTGGCTCCCTGCTATGCACCTGGGGCAACAGCAACAGCCCAGATGGTTTCCGGCTCTTGCCTTTGGCCTGGCTTGCCTCCACTGCTGCAGGCACTGGACAGAGTAACCAGCAAACACAGACCTCTGTTTCTTTCCCCTCATCATTCTGCTTTTCAAAACAAACAAAACAACACAAAAAAAATTCAAAATCAAAAACAATACAGTTTTTGAGAGAGCTCTTCACAGTCAAGGTATGACAAGAAGGGTTATGAAAAAACAATTCATCACATATACTATTCTTTATAATGACTTCATGTGTTATAGTAATTTCACCTCTGAAAGTGCTGGGAAAATATCAAAAGTGAATTGTCATCAGTGAAAGAAGTTATGAACAGGAGTTCAAAGTCTTTGAAGCTTTTGTTTCCAACCTGTTAAGCAAACTGGAACAAGCCTTGAAACAAAATGTTTATTCCAGGAGGCCACTGTTTATGTGAGGAAAAACACCACAGGACCACTAGAGAGGGGCTTCTGTGTCACGGCTCTGAGGAAACCCTCCTGCTCCCTGGTATCTGATGACAGTGTGGCTGCCCCTACACTGTCTACGTGAAGAAAAACACCGCAGGACGACTGGAAAGGGGCTTCTGTGTCACGGCTCTGAGGAAGCTCTTCCCCTTACACTTCCTCATGTACATCGTGCTGGAGCTACTGCAGTCACCCAGGCTGCTCCTCTGTACAACTTAACCCAGGCCGAAACTGTCTGGGCAGTAGGCAGCAGACAGCCTGTACCAATAGTTACCAGCCTGCACTAATCTTAAAGAGATCTGTAATTGCAGCATGCTATTATTTATTTTTATTGGAAAGGCAGATTTACAGAGAAAAGAAAATATAGAGAGAATGATCTTCCAGCCACTGGTTCATTAGCCTTGTGGCTGCAATGGCCAGAGCTGAGCCAATCCAAAGCCAGGAGCCAGGAGCTTCTTCTGTGTCTCCCACGCAGATGCAGGGTCCCAAGGTCTTGGGCCGTCCTCAACTGCTTTCCCAGGTCACAAGCAGGGAGCTGGATAGGAGGTAAAGCAGCTGGGACATCCCATATAGGATGTTGGCGCTTGCATGTGGAGGATTAGCCATTTGAGCCATCAAACATTTTAAGACTAAACATTTTAAGACTAGGAATCCCAAACTAAGATGGAGTACCTTAAGTCCTTCTTTTTGGAGATCTTGAGCAAGATCCCTGCATAATTCTTGGCATAGGCTGTACTGTTCTTCTGCTTGACTTATCTCACTGAATGTTCTGGAAAGACAAGAATTATTTTGCTGACTACAGTGCACTATAACTCAGGATGGTGTTTGAATGATATGGTGTGTTTAACAGTAAGGTACATTATGTGCAGTATAAAACAATGCTTCAGATGCAATGAGATACAATAAAATAAAACATCCAAGAATACAAAAATCATGGAAAAACTACTAATTGGTAAGCTAACTAGCAAAGGAGCAAATTTATGTTCTCTTTCTCTTCAGGGTATTTTTAAAGGGATGACTGAGTCACTGACAGGTAACACAAAGGGCGTATGCATGCGCTCTGCTCCACAGAATCACCCCATCACTGCAGAGGACTTTTCTGGAATGTGAATATCACAAAGCAGATTCAGTGAACTGGCTCTTGGTACTGAGGCAGCATCGCCTAAGCAATGGCCAGAGAAGCAAGGCTGTTAAGCAAACAGTGCTGAACGAAGTTGAGAGGCCATGTTGACACAAAAGAGGAAGATTATCACAGCAGAAGCAAGCTCAGGAAAGGTGGCCTTCCCAGACTCTCAGCACCCCTGCAGGAGGTGGTGGCCCTCCTAGACTGTACCCAGGCTCTCTGCACCCCTGCAGGAGGTGTTGCCCCTCCAAGGCTCTCAGCACCCCTGAGATGGTGGCGGCCCTCCCAGGCTCTCAGCACCCAGGCTGGTGACAATCAGTGGACTTCTTATTCTCGTGAACTCCTTCAGAAATGCACCACAAAAGCATGGGCCAGGCAGCCCAACACTTCCTCCTAATTTCTTCGTAACGAGTACGCTGCTAGTCGCATTGCTCAGCACCTAGCACTTCTCACCTGGACCTGTTGATGGTCCTTAATGAGTAAGCAACATCCACATTTTCATGTGGTGCATAACATCCTACTTCAAAGACAGGAGTCATTTGACTATTTCTCCATTTGTGGATATGAATGTCTGAAGGTCATTTTACCCATCAGTTTCCTGGGGTCAGATGTGGAATTTCCCGCTTGTGGCATCACATGGCACTTGGACAGTTCTGGATTTAGGATTTCTGGATTTGTGATGTTCAACCTGCATTTGATGCTTCTGCCTTTCACCAGTATTTGAAGACTTTAGGGAAAATTTTCCTAAATCACTTCTTAAATTTCCCAAGTAAATCTGATGGTTCTTACAAAGAATCTTGAAATTAAGACTGCTACAGTTCATTTTTTCCCACCGAGAGCACTGTGCTAGGACCGTTAGTTTAGGAAATGGCTATTGTGATTGCCATTATATTTTTAAACATTTCAGTGATATCTGTATCCAAAGTTATAACATTAGTTATGAACTAGTAATAAATAACTAGTAAAATAGTAATAAGTAACTAACAAAACATTACCTCTCAACACTCATGCTTTTCCTCTCTCCATCCCTGGAAATGGAAAAAAAAAGATTACTTTCTTCCTTAAAGACGAATGAGTTACTTTTAGTTAACTATGGTTTAACATATCAATTACTCTTCAAACATCTAAATTTCTTCATTAAAGTTTATACACCACAAAAAATAGTAAAATAGTTTTTTTTTTTAAAGATTTATTTTTATTATTTTTTCATTGGAAAGGCGGATATACAGAGAGGAGAGACAGAGAGGAAGATCTTCCGTCTAATGATTCACTCCCCAAGTGAGCGCAACGGGCCGATACTATGCCGATCCGAAGCCAGGAGCCTCTTCCGGGTCTCCCACGTGCGTGCAGGGTCCCAAAGCTTTGGGCCGTCCTCGACTGCTTTCCCAGCCACAGGCAGGGAGCTGGAAGGGAAGCGGGGCTGCCGGGATTAGAACTGGCGCCCATATGGGATCCCGGGCGTGCAAGGCGAGGACCTTTAACCACTTGCACCACCGCGCCGGGCCCAGTAAAATAGTTTTTGAATCTACAAATAAAACTATTGGAACTATTATTGTGCCACAGTGGGTAAGGCTGCACCGGGAACACTGGCATCTCAGTGGGCACTGCGTCCAGTCCCAGCTGCTCCCCTCCGATCCAGCCCCCTGCTAATGGCCTGGGAAAAGCAGTGGAAGATGGCCCAAGTGCTTGGGCCCTGCCGCTCATGTGGGAGGTCCAGAAGAGGCTCTTGGCCTCTGGCATTGGTCTGCAGCAGCACTGGCCATTGCTGCCACCTGGGAAATGACCTCTCATTTTCTCCTTGTAACTCTGACTTTCAAATAAACATATCTTTAAAACGACCTAAGTCTGTCACCAAAGCATATGAATAAGATGTTAGCATGATTATATATGTCATGAATCAAGTTTATATTCTCGTCGATGAGAACAGAGATATTACAAATCCCTTCTTTTTAAGGCATGCATATATATATATATATATATATATATATATATATATATATAAAACTCACAAAAACCAGTAGGAAGTGGTAGTATAATATCTTGCAGTCATGGGATGTAATTGAACTTCATGGTTTTTCACCTAGAACAGCAACTTGCCTCTCCTACAATATGTTCATTACTCATTTAGGCCATACCACAGAACTCAGTCAGGATGTGGTACAAAGCAATTAAGATGGAGATTGGGCATCTAGACTGACTGGTTTGGCCTGGCTGCATTCTAGCTGCTCTGACAGGAACAGTTAAAAACCCATGAGAGCTGAATGATACACAGATTATTCATTTTCCGAATACTCAGTGAGCCTATTGTGATCCAAGTCCTGTTCTAGAACGTGGTAGATACAGAAATGAATATTATACATGAAGTCTCTGCCCTTATAAAGTCGATGTTTCCATGGAAGGAGGAAGCAAGCATGTAACACGGGAGAAGACAAAGCAGAGTGGGGCACCAGGGAACATGGACAGAGGGCAATGCAGGCCTAAAATGACCTATTCCTGTGAAAGCCTGCGAATTCCAGGTATAGCTTTCTCTCTAAACACCACAGGATAACATGTTGTATTAGAACTACACTGTTTTCATGTGCTGAAAATAAAAGCAGGTGACTTTAGATTAGTGAGTCTTGTCTGCTGCTGTTTTCATCATGCTGTGATGTCTCCAATGGCCACCACAGCCACGTGAGGTCAGTCAGTATGCCCAGTGACTCACAACGGGGAGTCTCTGCAGCCCCAGATGGTTCAGCCCGGCAGGGCTTCCCAGCTGCAGTGCTGTTAGCCTCCAGACCACCAAGCAGATGTGGCCTCGGGGCTGCTGTCCACCGCAGGCCTTCCTCTCGTTTCCTGTTCCCTTCTCTTCACTCAGTTCTTCAGTTTGCCCTTCGGCTTCAGGGCCCTTCGGCCATACCCTCACCCCTACTCTGTGTGACTGGCTCCCTCTGGCAGCCTGTGGATGCCACTCACACTCTCACTCTGCTTTACTGTATTCATTTGTTTATTTGGATTTTTAATGTTTTGTAAGATGATGTTTATTTATTTATTTAATTTGAAAGGCAGAGAGCCAGAGGCAGATGTTCCATCCAGGGGTTAATTCCCCCAGTGCCACAGTGGGGGAAGGGCCAGGCCAGGGTGGCACACAAGCTGAGAGACACAAAGTCGGTCCAGTTCTCCCACACAGGTGAGCCTCAGCAGGGCTCACCCCAGCAGGAAGCTGGACTGGAACAGGAGCTGGCACTCACACTGGCAAGGTGGGCACCCCAGGGGGTACCTGAGCTGCTGAGCCTGTTGCCCTCTGTGGTCATGCTGTCTCGGGGGAGGGCTCTGTCCTGCTTCCTGCTAACACTCTCAGTGCCCAGAACAGTGCCTCCCACAGAACACCCTGTGGTGACCCAGGGACCATTTAGAAAGGCAGCTAGCTCTTTAGGGTGCTTCATGGGATTATCAAATCGTCTTGCTTCAAGAAGCCATTCTTCTTTCCTCAACAGCCCAGCCCTAGCTAAGTCAGCCAATCCCACCGAGTTCTGCACTAAGGCCAAGACAGAGGAGCAGGCAGCTGTACATCTTCCTTTTCATCCACCCAGTCCTGGAACAGCACCCTTCCCCCATGTCCAATCTGTTGACTCCAGTTCAAGCTTAAATTGTGAACTCTGTGTAATGGTCTTAAGGCCATGTGACCTGTACCTATAGGCTCCATCTCAGTGGTTACAACTAGTACTTCAGAAGCAAACGATAAAGAAAAAGCAGGACAGTGATATTAACAATACCTTGCCAGGTGTGTTGAACCTAGACCCAGAGAGATGTGAAGGAAGTAATGCCAAGACGTTTCTGAGAACAGGAGAGAAAGCAGCGCCCTCTTCTGGTAGAGCTCGGTACAGGTGACAACTCCAAGGGCCTTTAACATTTTCTCTGTAACTTTTCCTATTCCTGAAACCTAGAGAAATGAGTGTTCGTCATCAAATGTTCTAAGAGTAAAATAAGGATTGAGGTTATAGTCTCATTATACATTTTATAATCAAAAACAGATATGGATAGTGTGACTGCTTTCACAAGCAGTTGCAAAACTGCTTTAACTGCATCCTGACCATGATCACGAAAGTAATGTTTCATGGTGTTTTAAAAGGCATTTAGAAATGGAGTTCTGTAATCATGTAATAGTGAGCTAGACAAATGAACTTTCACTACAAGCATTTTTTAACCTACCATACACATGGTGACCCACCCAAGGGCTGCTCACTTGAAAGTTATCCGACCCTAGACCTTTCTAAGTGACCACTATTCACTCCCTGGAAAACGACGACTTTACAGAGACGCCTGCAGATTTTATTCAGTAACCACTGGAGGATGTCCTTGGAGAGGGCCTTTCTTCTGCATTTGAAATACAAGAAAAATTCACTCATATGTGAATTTCTCCCAGATGGAGGGAGAAATGCAGGTCGTAGAATACCTAACAGTGACAGAGCAATCACGTCGAGAGAAGTGTGTGTGTGCAGTGAGATCCAGGAGACCTGCAGCACAATAATGCTTGCCTCTCCGGGGACCTCGGAGGGTCATCTTACCATTTTAAAGATGGTCAAGCATTTTGGTTTATCTGTCAAAAACCACTGAAACCTGGACTCTCTGAAGTGCCCTGTGGATTGCCTGGCAGCAGCGTGGGCATGAGGACTGCGACGGCGTCTGGCTGCTCTTCCACATATTCCTTTTACTTCCCTATTCTTGGAGGAGAGCACTTAAATCTTGCCACCTATCAATTTCTTTGATGTTTCCAGCAAACAAATTTCCAGAAGCCAACCAGCAAGGTTTTATAAAACACTTTTTCAAGTCCAAATCCAACTGCCCAGTACAGCCCTCACACAGGATGGCTACCACCAGCCCATGTGGCGTCCCTTCAGAACTCACACACGCGGCTGAGCCTGTGCACAAAGCCTTACCTTCCGAATGGGTAAGTCCTTGATGAAGTTCATCACGGCTTGTCTAGTGGGAAGAACCTGGTATTGTCCGTTTGGCTTATTCTTATCACTGCATATTTTAGCTAACATTGTATTTGGGGCAATACCTAAAAAGAAAAAAATTTTGTAGACTCAAAGAAATCAATATATACAACTTTTAAATACGTAATGACAAAACAGAAACATCATGTTAAATGCAAAAGAAAAAATCTGTGTGTCCTGTGAAATTATAGGTAATGCTACTTTACAAATAGCATCTGAGCCCAGCATGGTAGCCTGGCGGCTGCAGTGTTCACCTTACATACACCAGAATCTTCTTTTCCATCCCTCTTCCTCTCTGTAAATCTAACTTTGCAATAAAAATAAATATATCTTAGGAAAATAGCATTTGACTCTCATTTATCTCCTCATGGCTTTGGATAGTTTTAGAAAATTTTGAAATTTGATTAATTTTTTGGCAGCAGAGATGAAGAATATTTAATTCTTTCTATAGCAAAAATCTAAGAATAACTTCAGAACTGAGTCATGTATGCTGTATAAAACGAGAGGCAGAGAAGATACGTGCCAGGGCTGGCTCTAGAGCAGGGTGCAGGCTAGAGCTGAGGGCTCTTGGCAGGCACCTGCGCCATTGTGTTGCCTCCCAGGGTTTGTACCGCAGGAAGCTGCAGCCAGGAGAGCCAGAGCTGGGATCAACTCAGACAGCTCCACGGGAAACATGGGGTTTTTAGAGCTATGCTTTGAGTAATATTAAGCATTACTGCTAATTTACTTATTATCTCTTGTAAGAATCACAGGGCTGTATGTAGTGATTCTAGATTCTCTGAAAAGACCCAGAGTTTAGGGTGGATGGTTATTCTTTAAGTAGTATCTTGTCTATAGATTATCCTCATACAGAAACAACAGGAAAGGTCCTGGGTTACAGGGTACTTAGAGCAATGATAATCAAATGTGTTCATTATTTTTGCTGCTTTCAAAAGAGAGGATTACTTTTCAGAAAAATGTTTCACAATTTCCAGAAGTCTTCATGGTCAAGATACTTTGAAATAGGTATGCTCATTGATAACAGGTCATTTCAGTTTCTTTTCACATCTTCCTAAAACTGATTGTTGCTGCTTTGGCAGAGAAAGATGGACCCAGCATGCAGTGCTGCTTCACAGGGTCTCTGACCGCAGCAGTGACCATGTTCAGACTGAGGTGCCCTCAAGGCTGGCACACCCACTGCCCCCTCCCTGGGGGGCACCTGCAGGCTTCTCTCGTGCACTGACGTCTTCCAAGGCCTGCTTGGAACATCAATATATTTTGTACATAATAAAAGACAACTATTTGATATTTTATGATAGCTTTCCATTTCTTTTGTGCTTCTAGCCCTTTCTGCTTAACTCTAATTGGCGTGTTGTTCCACAACTACTCTGATAGTAATGGTGTTAAACTGAATCCAAAATGAGTCAGTTAAACACTGTTGGATGCTTCGTAAAGAGAAATGACCACGGTGAGTGAAGTTAGCCGAAGGGACGTCACAACTGCAGTCTCACACGTTTAAATACCTGCACTGGCCGTCAGTCCTGTTTTCTGCTCAATTCGGAAACGAATTTCCTTCACCACTTCCTCTGCTGACGTTCCAAAAACAACGGAGTTCTGGAGCACTTGAGGACTGCTTTGTTCTTCACCATTTCCGTGGAAAGGACTTTCCAGTGGCTGCACGTCAGGTGGGCTGTCTTCAAACAGGAGCGGGGAGATGGTGCCGTCATGTTCGCCCAGCGTGTCTGCTTCCTTGCTTGCTGTAGCTGCACCACAAACAGGAACCGCCCGCAAGTCAGGTTTCCCAAACCAGGGCCAAAGGACAAAAGATCATCTATTTCCATAACATACATCTTGAACTATTCTACTGATTAATTTTTGTACTTCATTAAAAGTAGAACGGGGCTTCAGTTTACATTTTTCTTAGGAAAAAAAGAAATCTTTTTCTTCTCTATCCTTATCTAGAGAAAACCAGAACTTAAAAATGCGGAGAAAGATAATGAACAACACAGAATAACTACACCTGGAAAATGACTTATTAGAGGGGAAAAAATCCTTGCGTTTTCATTTATGTAAGAAACTTCAGATATGAATGTAGTCTGAAGTCTCTTTTTCCAAATGCTGTTTCTAATTCTGACTTGCTTGTTTAGAAGTTGTCTTTTTTCCTAAGGATATATTTTCAAAATAAAAACTATCTCTGAAAATCATGCTTGTTTAACTATGCAAATATTAGACAACCAGAGTTCAATTGTAAGGGAAATAATCTTTATTATCATCAATCAGCTGTACAGTCTTATCACCAAAAAATAAAGGAAACATATCAATCTGGTTATGACTTCATTTTACTTATATTTTTCATATATGGACTGTAAAACACTTCTAAAACTGTACTTGTACTAAAAATGTCCTCATGTACAAATTCATTAAAGATTTAATTCAGGAGAAATGCGTAAATGTTTTTATAACAGTGAAGATTAGGAGCAGAGTTTTCTAGTCATATTTCTTAGTTTTATTATATTCATGCATAAATGCTTTCCAAATCAAGGTAAAGTCTGAAGGATCACATATGTTGTCTCCATGCACAGTACTGTATTTTACTTGAAAAATGAACTTGGTCTTTTGTGAAAACGTAAAGACAAGGTAAATACTGTGATGAGCATGTGTTATGAATTTTGTCACAGACGCTTTTCATATTCTATTTTTAAAATGCACTAGCATTTCAGAGGGAACTCCAAGTGGGGCTGATAAACTTTTATCAGCAGTAGAGGTCAGGTAATGAGAGCTGCAGAAGAACGGCAAGTCGCTGGGGCAGGAGCCAGCTACCAGGAACCTGCTCCCTGTGCTAACAGGTTGCAGGGGTCAGGGGAACTGCAGGACACTAAGCCCCCCTGAAGACATCCTGCCTGCCCTCAGGTGAGTCACTGCGATAGGACATACAGCACAGAGCACAGAGTGCTCCTTCTGGAACATCAAAGAGCTGCTGCAGAACCTTGTGGTGATACTACCTGCTGGGCTGCTGATGTAATCAGAGACAGTGCTAGAACTAAAGCCGTCCACCTTGATGGCCGGTGCTAGTCGTGTGATGCTATTTCATTCCTCACATGGTTTGGCACTTGTTCACTAGGCACACAAACCAGAGAAAATGTAAAATCATAATGATCAATTTTCACATATGTGGAGACCACAGTCAGTAGCACATGTTCAAAGAAAAACATTTTGTAAAGGTGGAGGGAGGGGCTGACACAGTGGCTCAACAGGCTAATCCTCTGTCTTGCAGTGCTGGCCTCCCATAAAGCACTGGTTAGAGTCCTGGCTGCTGCACTTCTGAGCCAGCTCCCTTCTTATGGCTTGGGAAAGCAGTGGAAAATGGCCCGAGCCCCTGGGAGACCTTGGCCGCATGGGGGATCTGGAAGAAGCTCCTGGCTTCCAGCTTTGGCTGACTTAGTTCAGGCTGTTAGAGCTATTTGGGGAGTGAACCAAAAGACAGAAGATCTCTCTCTCTCCCTCTTTCTCTAAATCTGCCTTTAAAATAATATATATACATATATATGTATATATATTTTTTTTTACAAAAAAGAGGAGGAAAACAGAACAGGAATGTTCTAGACTTTGGAAGACGCATCCGTCGCCTGCCAAAACTGCAAGGCCCTGTTCCTGTGACAGCAGACATGCCTCTAGCCCACAGAGTCATTCACTAGAAACAGCTAAAATATCTTACTTATCTGACAGGCAGAGTGACAGAGCGAGCTCTCCCATCGGCCATCTACAACACTAAGCCAGAGTCAGGAGTACACCGAGATTACAGAACATGTGGAAAACAGGAAGATTTGGCTATGTCTGAGGCTCATCTTTTAAAATTTGTTTTCATTAACGGTCAGAGAAAACATTCACAGCAAGCCATGGCTTTCTCCACTTGAGTGCTGCCAGTCGGATGCTCTTCAGGTTGCAGAAGAGCAGGGGGTGACCCCCGACCCAAGGACTCTGATGACCATGCTTACAGATGGGCTCCCACACAGGGAATTCAGAAAACCTCCGGTGCTCCATGTCTCTCGATGTAGCTGGTCTGACCTTCTATACTTGTACATGGTCATGAGCCAGCTAGGTCAATCTGAAAGGTTGTTTTTGTTTGTTTGTTTATTTTAATTTGTTAGTTGCAATAAACTGCTTACCATTTTCTGCAGGGTTTCCCATTTTGGTGAAGTACCTTCTTTTGTCCTCGGGCCAGCTCTGTCTTTCCACTAAGTGCTTTGTTATGTTTAAGTAGGCTTCATCTAGACTCATAGCCATAAAGTCAGGATCGTAATCAGCAAGTATTTCCTTAACCTTCAAAAGGAATGACAAAGGTTCCAATGGTGTCATCACTGCAAAACCTTCTCCAGAGAGCTGACCAAAAGTTTAGTACTCTGGCCCTGCAACTACAGTAATGATCCTGCAATCAATAAGTCATGGATTGAGGAAATAAATAATTCACTCTTAAGCTCATTTGTCAATTCTTTCAAATTAAAGCAGATCAGGAAGGAGATCACAAAAGGCTTCCTTTTATGCAACATTATTCGGCCACCTATAGCAAGCTGCAGAAAGTGATGCATATAAATCTCGGAAGGTGACACTGAGGCACCAGTGGCTGGCGCCCTCTGGAGGTCTGAATGGGCAGTGTTCCCGGAGACAGAAGTGCGTGCCTGCTACCAGAACTGAAAGACACATCCAGGAAAGACAAGTCTGAAGCTCCAACAAATAAAGATGCTGCACTATCCTGGGTTCCTTAAACTTTTTGTTTTTCCTATGATTTATTTTTAAATTTTTTATTAGAAAGTCAGATATACAGAGAAGAGGAGAGACAGAGAGGAAGATCTTTCATCCACTGATTCACTCCCCAAGCAGCGACAACGGCCGGAGCTGAGCCGATCTGAAATCAAGGGATAGGTGCCTCTTCCTGGTCTCCCATGTGGGTGCAGGGTCCCAGACCACAACCTGAGAGCTGGGTCCGCCAGGATTAGAGCCAGCACACATGAGATGCCGGTACAGACAAGGCGAGGACTTTAGCTGCTTGGCTACTGTGCCAGGCCCAAGTTCCTTAAGTCACTGCCCCATTACTGCATGTACAATCAGTGACAAATGTGTGCAGCAGTTCATTTACACATGAGTATCATTCGTGAAGCAGCTTGTACTTAGACATGAAGACGCTAAGAACAGTTGGTTCTTACCTACTTGTCACTGTGTTTGTTAGAAGTTGTACTGAGTCAAAGGAGGACTTTATTCTTCACAGGATTTTTAACTTATTAAAGCCCACTGCAGTTATGGTGAACATTTTATGTCTTTGTAATACATACTAGCTATTGTAGCAATTTGGGGAGTGAATTAGCAGATGGAAGCTCTCTCTCTCATTCTGCTTAATAAATAAATAAATAGATAAATCTTTTTTGAAAGTCAGGAACACAATAACAGAGATAATGTCACGGCAGCAACTGTACAGTGTCTGGTGTGATCCTGCAACCTTCTGACCCAGGACGTAAATCCCAGCACACAGCCTAGAAGTGGCAGTGTCCTACAGGAGACACTCAGAGCCCTTGTCCTGCCCTTTGTCCCTGCTGACCAGTCTCCTGGACATCACCTGGCTAGACTGTAGGGCACGGAAAGCAGCTAACAGTCACAGATTCTGTCACTGCTTAGAAACACTGACACAAACGTAAAAAAAGTTGAAATTAGGGATGAAGGAAATCTATACTGCACCTGAAGAGAAACATGGGTAGCTGTTTTAACATATAAGGAGGCTATTGCACACAAAAATACACACAAAGGCAAAAAAGCAGGGGAAGTACAGGATGAACAGCCTGGGTGCCACCCTGAGCCCAGCACCCCAGACGCATGCTGAGGGAAGGGTGGAGGTGTCAGGTCTCTACCAGCAGGGGCTCGAGGAAGATGGGACCCGTGACTTACCTCCTGACTCACCGCTCGATACTTGTCGAAGTTTGGGGGCACTATAATAAGCTGTGGGCAGAGTCTCTTGGCAATAAACCCTGGCATGGCTGCTCGGACACCAAACCTTCTTGCATGGTAATTTGAAGTAGACTGAAGGAGAGTTGACCACATGGGGAAAAATATACAAAGCTAAGTGGAGATATTGATCAATATAAGGACATCTCTCTCTCTTTTTTTTTTTTTAAGATTTATTTATTTTTATTGGAAAGGTGGATATACAGAGAGGAGGAGAGACAGAGAGGAAGATCTTCCATCCAATGGTTCACCCCCCAAGTGGCCGCAACGGTTGGAGCTGAGCCGATCCAAAGCCAGGAACCAGGAGCTCTTCCGGGTCTCCCATGTGGGGGCAGGGTCCCAAGGCTTTGGGCTGTCCTCGACTGCTTTCCCAGGCCACAAGCAGGGAGCCGGATGGGAAGTGGGTCCACCGGGATTAGAACCAGTGCCCATATGGGATCCCGGCCGTTCAAGGTGAGGACTTTAACCACTACACTATAGCGCTGGGCCCTAAGGACATCTCTTTTACAGCTTACTGACCTGCACCAGGCTTTGAGTTTACCCTGTTGGGTCCTAGGACCTTATCTCACTGCTGTCCCACCTACTTAGAACATGATACTACATAGTAAGCAAGACAGACAGTCTTAGGAAAAAACTTGCCTGTATTTCCAGTAACTACACACATTGTTCAAGCAGGCATCCTCTTTGGCTGGCCCTTTGCAGCAGTTTATTACACTAGGTGGCTTCAATGCCAGCTTCCCATAGCTGAATGCCGGTCAAGGCCCAGCCGCTCTGTGTCCATTCTAGTAGCTGTGAGAGCAGTGCAAGATGGACGGCCCTACCATGCAGGTCCTGACACCCATGTATGAGACCCACATGGAGTTTCTGGCACCAATAGTCGTGGCTATTTGGGGAATAAGCCAGAGCACAGATGATCTCTCTGTCTCCGTTACTCTGCATTTCAAATAAATTAATGTAAAAATTAAATAGAAGACATACATGCATTCTAGTTAGGATATATCAAAGTTTGTAAGACGCTAGATGATGCTACATGAAAGTAACAGTGCAGCAAATAGTATAGGAAGTTGTGAGGTAATGGCATAACACAAATAACAAAGATTCCAAATCATAATAATAAAAAGTAGTACAACATCACAATACAGGTTGAGCATCTATCTCTGATTTGGGACTCTTCGAATCTGAGGATCTCTGTCTGTACACCATTCACTGATGAGGTCTCCCTAAGCTGGAAATCTGGAACTTAAAGTCTGACATTTCCAAGTATTATGTAGGAAGCTCAAAAAGTTTTAGGATTCTGGGAATAGACACAGAGGCTCACACTCAACTTTTGGGATTTGTTTTATTTGGAAATTACTTATCTAACAGAAATCAAAGCATGTCAGATAAAGCAGGCTCCAAAAATGCTGTGAGCAGTCTTTAAGTTTCAAAAATTTGTAAAATTTTACTTTTATTTATTTGAAGACATACAGACATAGACAAAGAGAGATCCTCCAAATATTGGTTCACTGCCAAAATTCCCATAACAGCCAAGGCTGGATCAGGCCGGAGCCGGGAGCCCAGAGGTTGGCCCTGGCTTCCCACAGAGGTGGCAGGGACCCAATCCCTAGTGCCATTACCTGCCGCCTCTCAGGGCACCTGTTAGCAGGAAGCAGAGCTGGGACTTTATACCCATCACTCCAACATGGCACAGTAACTACCCTGGTAAAAAATATCTTGACCAGGGATGGAGCTCAATGGAAGCACTCCCTTCCAAGCAGCTGAAGACTGACGAGAATAGACAAGAAATGCCCGTTCGCTCATCCTCCTTACCAACTTACCAACATACTCATCGAGCCCACAGCAATGGGCTTGTCTCTCAGCTCTGGGTTGTCCCTCATCTCCACAGCTGCATAGAAAGCATCCATGTCTACATGGACCATGGTGTTACTCAGATTCCGGTTCTGTTCCAATTCCATTGCAAATCTGTCCACCTTAATTTAAAAATGTTAACATGTGAGACATGACACTGAAATTTCATTGACCAAAACACTTATCTGGATCTAGCTGGTGGCCTGCACCTGCCCACCCCTCATCCACTGTGAGTTACAAATGTACACTTACTGCTGCTCATGGGTGTTAATGAGGGCACATATAGTTCATTACTGTTGAAGAGTGTATACATCAATTTTATTACTGCTCATTAAGGCTGGTAAGTGCTTTTTTTTTCTTTTTTGAAGAACATTGGTTTATCTACTTGAAAAGCAGAGAGAGAGAAAGACGGAGGGAGAATATAAATCCATCTGCTGCGTCACTCCCCAAATGGCTGCAATGACCAGGGCTGGATCAGGCCAAAGTCAGGAGTTTTGGAACTCCATGTGGATGGCAGGGTCCCAGTACTTAAGTACTTAATAAACATTTACTGAACAGAGGAACCACTCCAACTATATTTTCAAATTATTTGACAACTGTATAAGTTTGGAGAAGTTATTGTAACAAAGTCTTAAGTTAGAGGAAACAAATTCCTCCTCCTTTAAAAATATTTATTTTCATTGAAAGGCAGATTACAGAGAGAAGGAAAGACAGAGAGAAAGATCTTCCATCCACTGATTTCCCAAGTGGTGGCAATGGCTGAAACTGAGTCGATCTGAAGCCAAGAGCCAGGAGCTTCTTCCGGGTCTGCCACGCAGGTGCAGGGTCCCAAAGCTCTGGGTCATCCTCGACTGCTTTCCCAGGCCACAAGCAGGGAACTGGATGGGAAGTAGAGCAGCCAGGACACAAACTGGTTCCCATATGGCAATTGAAGGTGAAGGATTAGCCAGTTTAGTCATTGTGCTGGTCTCAAACAAACCCCCTTTGACTGGTAATAGTAACAGTTTTAAAACAGCGACCAAGGCTACTACATACATATTTATACACATATATCTCATTTACACTGATGTTCATGCTGTGCAGTGCCTAGAAGTCTAACGTAAACATTCATGCCCTCTGTAGAAGAGTGAACGATAACACCAGGTACGTGTTATTCCCTACAAAGAGCTGAAAACAAGCTGTAATTTATCCTTCAGAACTCTAATACATGAAGAAACTCCAAAAAACTTCAGGAACAAATGAAATTAAATGACAACATACACTGAACTTTCTGAAGACCCCCATGTATGTCAAATACTACAGTAAGAAATACAACTTTTAAAGAACTTTCTCACTGAAGTTGGAGCTTAACTATGTCCCATAGCACCAGCCCGCCCGTGTGATGTTTGATGGATTTAGAATCATGCAAGGAGAAAGCAGTCAGAAGAACTGCAACTGAGCACGGGGGCAGGGCTTGGGGCTGTGCCAAGGCCAGAACAGTGTGGGCATCTGGCACCACAGCCCAGCTTGGAGTGCTGCAGCTGAGTGCTGGCTTCCTGCTCACGCACATGCTGCAGGGCAGCAGGGCTAACTCAAGACTGAGTCTGTGGATTAGGTCTCTGGCTGCAGGCATTTGCAGAGCGGAAAGCAAGTGGGTCTGTTAGTCTCCTAAATTTACATAAAATAATAACAGCCACAGACGAGTAGAGGGAATAAGCACGTTGTGGCATCTCTAGAATGCAATTATCCTCTAAGGCAGAGAGTGACAGGGCTACAAGGTGCTGGAATGCAACTTATCTCCACATGCACAGCTGTCTTCCACAGCCTTTCTTCTCCTCCTCCATCTTAACATTTATTATTATTATTATTTTTGGAAAGGCAGATTTATAGAAAGAAATACAGAGAGAAAGATCTGTCCACTGGTTCACTCCCCAAGTGGCTGCAATGGCTGCAGCTGAGCCAATCTGAAGCCAGGGGCTTCTTCTGGGTCTCCCACACAGGTACAGGGTGCCAAGGTCCTAGGCTGTCCTCCACTCAGTCTGGCACCCACATGGGATCATGTCAGCCACACTGACGCTGTAGAGGGTGTGGCTGGCCAGGTGTTCTGACACCTAACCCAGCTCTGTCCCACGGCTTCCAAGGTCTGTTCACATATCATTGGTTTGCTAGGTAACTTAACTCCATCTCTGTCCTCTAAGCCACAGAACTTAATTTCTCATATTTGTTTTCCTCCTCTTACTAACCATGCATTGTATTAGATACTAAGTTCCAAGTTGTTGTTTTTTTTTTTTTCAAGATTTTATCTGTCTTTGAATTCTTTCTAACAGGGAGGGATGACTGGTAGGAAATCAGGAAGGAAATTTACAGTGATGTGTGAAAGTTGGCTAAAAAAAGAAAAAGCAACAGAGAAACTGTGGATAAGGCTTTGGGTTCTGGTAATACAACTGATGTAGTAAACAGAACGTTCCAATCTGACTCATCTATCGTTTTGCTTTAGCCTTATTTCCTACAGTATTGCAACAATGAGTTAGCACTGAGCATCCTGACAGGACGTGCATACAGAGGGAGACTAAAAACTGTCCTGTATCCATCCAGAAAACACGCCCAAGTGACAAGAGTCAGTAGAGAGCAAGGCAGACACAGTGACCTGCAACAAGCAGACGGGCAGGAGTCCTTCTTGGGCTCCTGCGGCCATGCTGACTGCGTCTTTCACACTCCCCTTCCCAGGGCCGAGAGGGAACATCCCCAGCAGATGACTCATCTGTTCCAGTGCCTTCCCCAAGACAGGATGGCTCACTGCTGCATGACTCTCTGCAGCCCCCCACACAGCCCTGCCACGGAGGGCACTCTCCCTCACGTGCCATGGAGTTCTGACTGAGTCTCTAACACCTCCACAGCTCCTCTCGGCCACTACGGGGACTTGTGTATGCCCCAAAGGTCAGGCAGACAGGCTCAGTCCTGCCCACTCGCATTGGAGACCTGCATGGGAGTCCAGGCTCCTGGAACCAGCCCAGCCTATCCAGGCTGCTGCACACACATTTGGGGAGTGAATCAGTGGATGGAGACTTCTCTCTGTTTCTCTCTCTTCGCCTCTTAAATACATAAAAGTTAGGAAAAGAGTAAAAATTTTGGTTTGGATTCTAACACTCATTAGTTGCATGACAGCGGGCAAGGCAATTCTCCTCCTCCTTGCTTTTCTTTATAAAGTGAGACTAAACCTAACCCTTTAATGTCCCTTGAGAAAATTAAAGAGAGGCTGGCACTGTGGCACCTGCATCCCATATGGGAGTCAGTTCAAGTCTTGACTGCTTCCGATTGAGCTCCCTGCTAATGCAACTGAAGGCAGCAGGGGTCCCTGAGGAAACCCTGCTCCAGCTCCAGCTTGCCTCAACCCTGTCCGTCATGGCCATTTGGACAGTGAACTAATGGATGAAAGATTTTTCTCTCTCTGCTTTTTTCACTCTGTAACTCTGTCTTTCAAACACATAAATAAAATCTTCAAAAAAAAAAAAAAAGAATTAAAGATACCCCTATGGGATGTATTTATCAGAGGATATGAAAAAGGCTTAATGATATTGCATATACCATGCACGGCCAGTAACAGCCAAGTGTCTCTCAAGTCTGTTCACTCACTGACTCAGGTCAATGGGTCCAGAGACCCCCTCATGACCACTTCCACTTTAAGGCTCCGGACAAGAAAGGGAGCTGGCCCCAAGGCGCACAGCCAGCAGCACCAGCACTGGGCCCTGCCATGCAGCTGGATAGGTCCAGTGACTCCGAGACTGTGAGACTGTGTTCCTTCTAGCATCTCCCAATGCTCTTTTATACACTGAGGGAAGTTCAAACTGTTAAGGAAAGACAGTCATCAGCCTATATGTGTGGAAGGGCCAAAGGGAAAGAGGTGTAGGGAAGGAACGCAGCAGCCTTCAAAGCAAAGTCCCACCCACGAGGGAGCCCATCTTCCCCCGGGAAGATCTGTGACCCAACGCCAAGGAGGCTATTTGATCTGATACCATAGATAATAAAACTTGGGGAGGAATTTCACAGCCCTCTGTCCAGCAGTATCCCAGAAGGGAGGGGGGCGTGGACCCTCCATCCACAGCAATGCAGTCTGAAGGCTGTCTGCCAGTGTACTTCTCTGTGACATTCAGCTTGCTGACCCTACTCTCCGCCTCATGTCTAGAATTCTTATGGGGACAAGGACTTGCTGTAGGCTCCAGGAGCAAAGTCTCTAATGATACATTTTATATTTACAAGACAGATTATTTTCTTTTTAAAAGCCCCATTCCCGTCAGGAGAGTATTTTAGAGATAATGATTTCCATTCTTTTGACTTGTTATTAACCTAGCAACTACTGAGTACACCTGGGTCAATAAAATGAGCTGATTTGCCGAACAGCTGCCATGGAATGTAACATGGACCTCTGGCAAGTTAGAAATTGCCCCCTGTGCAGTTTCCGTAGGAGGAAACAGCCCCCAGCAGGCTCAGAAGCAAAGCCAGGAAGCCGCCCAGAATTACACACTACCAAGTCTTGCCCATGCCCCAGCTACTTCCTGGGTGGTCCCAGCCTTCTCCCTGGAAGCTTTGATCCCAGCTCACAGGGGCAAGTCAGCTGACCACTCCGGGTGAGGACACCTCCACAGCCTGTCCACTACCAGGTGGGCCACCTAGTCTGACAAGAGATCAATTTTACCTTTTCCTCACCCAGCAAGCTCTTTGTCCAGAAGGAGGAAGGGAAGGGGGAACCACAGGGAGAACTAACTCCATTCCTTCAGAGGCTTTGGTCTGGATACAGACTATACGCTTTGCTCTCAGCTCCTCCCTGAGTCACTCGGCCTGTCACGTGTATTCTCTTACACCATGCAGTCTTGCCCGCCCAGTCTGATCCTGTCTGACAGACTCCCTGTCCCACTAAAGTGCAATAGCCTGCTTGGCATTACACTGTCTCACACTCAATTCTTTCTAGCATGAAGACAAGACCCTTGATTCCACTCACCTCTGCTAAGAGTTCTGAGATGACAGTTCAAGAGTCCTCCTTCAAGTGGGAGAACATTCTAGAGTGTTCTCTCACACACCTGGGATTCATGTGTACAGAGTTCTCACCTCAGTTCCTGTCCCAATATGTGGAACAAAACCTACAACATGGACATTTAGAACTCTAAAATAGAAACAATTTCAATTGAAAACATCTCTGTTCTGTCTTGACTTCTTACGACTTCCTCAATCCCCTCCCATTTACACAACTTTTTTCAGAGGAAACTCAACAAATCAAACAATGTGGCAATCAACATAGAACACATTTCCTGCCATTCCACAACAGGAGTCAGGGAACCTCCCATGAAACAGGCAGTCCTAACTGGAACAGAACCCTTCATTGGATTCATCTGATTCACAGTGCAAGGTATTTTCTGTTCCTCCAGGTTGTAACCACATACAAGGATATGAGCCTTAGAAACAGCATAGCAGCACAATTCATGTGAACCATGCCTTATAATGTAATCAGGTATTTATATATTACACAGTCACAAAACTGGCCAAAATGTCCAAAAAGTAAATTGCTCAAGAGTTAACACCAATTCAGAAACAATGTTATTGTGAGCAGAATGAAAATTTACCAAAACCCAGACCTTGACTAGCCGGCATTGGTCCCAGGCACCCCTGGCTCCTGACTGCCGCTTTGGCTCATGCAGAGCCTGGGAGGTGAAGGTGTGGCTCAAAGGACTGGGTTCCCACTGTCAGCCAGGACAAGGCCCATGGGCCTAGCTCGGCTTCCAGCCTCCACTCTGGGAGCAATATGTCTTCTGGCCAGAGGTTACTGCTCATGCTGACAGGCCAGGAGAAGCCAGATCTAGTGTGGTTTCCTGAGCTCCACCTAGGACACCTCAAATTCCACCATAATCTCATTTCTTAAGTAACTAAACATTCCCACCAGCCAAGAGAGTTGAAAATCCCCATGACAACCACAGGAAAAGAACACAAACGGAAGGAAAAGTGCTTCCCTCTTCTGAGAACTATACCTCCCCTTTCCCAGCACAGCAATGATAGGTATTCCCCACTCTGTTCTTCCTCCCACATCTGTTGCCCAATATCCATGAGTGCAGTGCTAGCAGATGGAAAATCTGATCTGAAAGCAGGCGAGGCCCCTGATCCTCCTGGCTTGGGTAACGGAATACAGCTATGCCTGCATGCTCTGCTCTTCTCAGTGGCTTCAAGACTGAAGGCGGCTGCCCCGCAACACATATACAGACATATAGAGACATACACAGACACCCAGAAGCAAAGACACACACAGACATACACACTCACAGAACCACACATATAGCCAGAAACACAGACACACACACATATTCAGAGAACCACACATACACCCAGAAACACACACACATACATACACACTCACAGAACCATACATATTCCCAGAAACACGTACACAGAACCACACATATACCCAGAAACACACACACATACACCACCAAGGTGGACTATGTCAGCCAATGGACCTTGGAAAGATTGCCTCAATCTAGGAGCAGTGAAAGCAACAGCATGGGCCTGGCAAGATAGTGTAGTGCTTAATCCTCACCTTGCATGTGCCAGGATCCCACATGGGCACTGGCTCATATCCCAGCTGCTCCACTTCCTAGCTAGCTCTCTACTTGTGGCCTAGGAAAGCAGTCGAGGACGGCCCAAAGCCTTGAACTCCTGTACCCATGTGAGAGACCTGGAGGAAGCTCCTGGCTCCTGGTTTTGGATCAATTTAGCTCCAATCACTGTGGCTACTTGGGGAGTCAACCAGCAGATGAAAGATCTTTCTCTCTGTCTGTAAACACAACTTTCCAATAAAATAAATAAATAAATCTTATTTAAAAAAAAAATTCAATACACATTAGCACTACCAAAATTCGTACCAGTTATATTTCAGTATAAGTCTAACAAATTATATACAAGGTCATCATGTAGAAAGCTTCACATCTTGAAGAACTAAATAAATGGAAAGAAATTCCATGTTTATGTTTATAGAAAGGGAAATTCATTATTTTTGAGATAGCAGCTCTTCCCAACTTCATACACGTACTCCATGCAGTGTCAGTGAAAGCCCAGCAAGCCACCTCATGGATATCACCGCTTTTCGGCCGGTCAATGGCGTCTCAAGGTCAGAATACACTGCCAGCCCCTGCTGCTGTCAGGAAGGGCTGGGGATCCCAACTCTTGCTAAACCACATGGAACACGGACAAGCTACTGTCTTTAATTCTCTCCCTTTATTCCTTACCAAGAGATGGAACACAGACTAGAAATAATTAATTTCTGTCATTCTAGGTAAGGACAACCCCAAGGGAGATAATGGGACCACATGATTTGGGGAACTGGTTACAGCAGCTGAACCAACTCCATGGGATGCCTGCACCTACGTCAGGATGCCTGGGACACAGCAAGAGACAGAAGGTGATGGCTCAAGTGTTAGAGTCCCTGCCTCCTACGCACCAGAGAGAGAATAAGAGAGAGAGAGAGAGACACACACTCTTCCACTGGCCAGACGTGGGCCAGCCTGAAGCCAAGCACCTGGGACTCCATCTTGGTGGGGCCAACTACTTGGACCGTCTTTTGCTGCCTTCCCTGGTCATGAGCAAGGTTCTGGGACAAAAGCAAGTAGTACAGACTCAAATAGGCATTACAGTATAGAAAGCAGCAGTCCCCACAGGCAGTTTAACTTGCTGTGCCACAACTCTGGCTCTATGATTCTGTCAGTTACTGCTCTATCAGCTTACACTTAACTTGACAATCAAATTAATACCTGTAGTTGTGCTTTCCTTAGCTGCTGGTTGGTAATTTGAGCTTTTTGTTGCATCATTTTTTCAATCCGCTGATTAACCTGCTTTTCTTTCTTGAGTTCATTTCCATAAAATCTAGACCCCTATGGAGGAAGAAAAGACAAACTATAAGACAGCTGTGTAAAGAAAAGCCTCACGCCAGCTTGCTTTCTGTAGGGTGTGTAATATGGTGGCTGGAGACAGACTCTGCAGTCAGAGTGCTCGGAGGCTGTGGTGCAGAGGTAAGCCACTGCTTGTGATGCTTCACCCTACTTCATCTTTCTGCGTCACAGCTTCCTTCTTTGTGAGACATGCATTTACTAACAGACTGCTGGTTCCCAGGGTTATCATCAGCCTCGTATGGCTTAGTATGCAGCTGAGATGAGCACAGATCTGAACCGCACAAAGGTGACACGCACATATGGGGCAGAAGCCCACCCTGAGCAATCTCCTTGCACACAAGGAGGAAGTGCAACAATATTCAGAGCAGAATAGGTTCTCTGTCTGCAAGTGGCTTACAACGTGGATCAACAAGGAGCCCTGCATACACAGGCTTAACGACAAATGCCGATCTTCAATCACTTAGAAAAAAAAAACCTCTGGCTGACTCTAACATGGGAAAAAAGCACAGCACCACCAAAAGCAAGACAATTCCAAGATTGTCCTGAGCAGCAAGAGGACACCCACCACACTGCACTTCCACAGACAGTCTACACAGGCAGTGCCTAGGCAAGGGCTCCTGGCATCAAGAGGACACCTACACACACACACACACACTGCTTCCAGACAGTCTACACAGGCAGGTGCCTGGGAATGGGCTGGGGCACAGCAGGGAGCTCATGCTGGGCCTTCTGCAGTTTAGCAGTATTGTATGTTAGAATAAAGGCTTCAACAATATGAACTCCCAAGCAAAGATCTTTTCAAGAGAAAGTAAAATGTTATTAGAGATATGAAAAGGAACAGGAAACATACCTTTGTAGCTTCCATTATAATTCTATTAATCTTCTCCTTGTCTAGCCCTTCCATGCCTGCTTTGTTGTCATTCAGACCCACACGAAGCAGAAGGTCCTCTCCACTTTCATGCTGCTTCTTCATGTTATCCATGGTGCAGGCTTTCAAAAAATACCTGCAAAGAACAGATTCAACACTGCTCTGAAAAGCACCCATGGAGGTGGTGGGACACCTAAAAACCAGAGTGATACAGATCAGCAAAGCAAACTGAAGAACAAGGAAAGAGTTTCAGCTAAGGAAAAATTATTGCTCAGGCTTTTAAGATCACTGTCCCAAGAGGCCCACACCATTGTAAACTCCATGTCAGGTCCCTTGTGTGGGCTGCACATGGGAATTTCAGGCTGCCACATGAGGGAGATGCTATTACTGCCAGTTTAGAGAGAATAAAGCTGTGCCTACTGACACATATTTGCTAACCAGAGGCAAAACCTGTTTTGCAACCAAGGTCTGAGTGCAAAACCTGAATTTCTACCCACATTATATACCACACAAAAAATAAATACAAAGTGATACTCCTACTTCTGCAAATGTTAAGTCCCACAGCCTATATTATCTACTATATGTACAGCTCTACTCACCAGAAAATGAAAAAACAATGACCTAGTTATTCCCAGGATATTATTACATTGCATAATTTTTTAAAAGGTTTATTATATTTATTTGAAAGGAAGAATTATAGGGAGAGACAGAGAAGACACCACAGAGAAAGAGTTCTTCCATCTGCTGGTTTACTCCCCAGGTGGGCATGTTAAGTGCTGGGCCAGGCTGATGCTGGTAGCCATGAACACTGTGGCAGGGGGACAAAGACGTGCGCCACCTTCCACTGCCTTCCAGACCCATTAGCAAAGAGCTGGATTGGAAGCAGAGCAGCCAAGCCTTGAAACGGCATTCATAGGGGCTGCTGGTGTCAGCTGATGGCTTAGCTCACTGTCACGGCACCAGCTCTGAGTGCTGTGTTATATCACTCCTAGGGTTAAGAAAAATCCCGTCAAGTAATAATATCTTTATATAGTTCCCTATGGTTTAGCTCCCCATACTAGTATATTAAGCTTGAAGAACATCTTGGCAGGGGCAGGTGTGGCATGGCAGGCTAGTTAAGCTACTGCTTGGGATATTGGTATCCCACACCGGAGTATCTGACTGGCATCCAGGCTACGTTATCCCACACTGGAGTACCTGACTGGCATCCAGGCTACGTTATCCCACACCGGAGTACCTGACTGGCATCCAGGCTACGTTATCCCACACCGGAGTACCTGACTGGCATCCAGGCTACGTTATCCCACACCGGAGTACCTGACTGGCATCGCGGCTATGCTACACTCTGACTTGGTGTAGCTGCTAACACACCAAGGAGGCAGCACACGATGGTCCAAGCACTTTGGTTCTTTCCACTCGCACTGGAGACCCAGACAGAGGTCCTGACTCCTGACCCAGCTCCAGCTGTTGTGAAAATTTGGAGAGTGATCAGGGAAAGGAAGATCTTTATTTCTCTCTCCCCTCCCTCTTTCTATCATTCTGCTTTTTAAATAAATAAATAAATCCACAAACAAAATTTATAATAGAAAAACCAGAATCTTTAGAACTTCCCTGCAAAGAAACAAAAAAAAGTGGGGCGTTTCAGAGGTTAAGTGAACTGCTTAATGGGAGAGTAAGAATGTCAGGACAGCAGAGGGATAGGTACTCCTGAGAACCTGGCTCTGACCCGTGATATGCCACTGCCTCCAGCGTGGGCCTCCCTCCGCGATGCTGATGGTCTCGGGGACAGCAGCACGGACCTCCCACGGCAGCGACTTCCTGTTGGCATGTATACACAGGGCCACTTACTCCACTCTGCTTTGAGAGCGTTTTGTAATAACACTGCTTCCATTTTTGGCACCCACAGGTTTTGGAAGGGATTTAGAACATTGTCCTGACAGGACAGAGTATACCCCACTACTGCTCACAAACTGCTGCAGATCAGACATACTTGGGGAACTTCAGACATTTCCATCACACACCAGATCAGCCAGAAGTTCTGCGAGTCAGGCAGTCAGGTTCTAAGACACACGTGAGGAGCCGCAGGGTGTGCCAAGCATGAGCAGCACTGGTGCAGGTGTTGCTTCTGAGTGCCCAGAGGAACACAGCCTGGCTTTCTGTTTTTATTCCTAGGATTTTCCCCTTTAATCATTACATTCTGCCTAGCCAATTACCTGGCATTTGCTAGAAAATCAGAGAAATAGAAATCATAATTTCACCATACCTGCACTATTGAAAAGGGTAAGAGTATAAATGCTTTGTCTTTTAAACAATGAAATGTAGGAAAGCAGAAGTACTTATTGAACAACCACTATTTCCATATATGGTAAACAGTAACTACATTTTATATGGCGCGCACACACACACACTGACATGGTCCATCGGCTGTTTCACTCATTTAATGCCTGGAACAGCCAGGGCTGTTCCAGGACAAAGCCAGGAGCCTAGAATGCGTGCCATGTATCCCATCATCTGCAACCGTCCAGCAGAGGCTGGAGTGGACGTACCAGATGCCAGGATTCTAACCAAATCCTCCAATAGAGGATGCAGATATCTCTTTTTCCTTTAAATGTTTTATTCTCATCTATATGAAAGGTAGAACGAGAGAGAGACACATCTTCTTTCCCAGTCCCCCACATGGCTCAAGCAATTGGATCCTCACCAGCACCCTCCCAAGTCATTAGGAAGCTGGATGAGAAGTTGAGGACCAGGTCCGGCACAATAGCCAGTCGCTAAACCTTCACCTTCCATGTGCTGGCATCCTGTATGGGTGCTGGTTTGTGTCCTGGCTGCTGCACTTCTCATCCAGCTCTCTGCTTGTGGTCTGGGAAAGCAGTTAAGGATGGCCCAAGGTCTAGGGATCCTGTACTTGTAATGGGAGACCTCAAAGAAGCTCCTGGCTCCTGCCTTTGCATCGGCTCAGCTCTGGCTGTTGTGAGCACTTGGGGTGTGAATCAGCACATGGAAGATCCTTCTCTGTAAATCTGACTTTCCAGTACAAATATATATATATATTTTTTTTTTTTTTTAAAGAAGAGGTTGACGACCTGAGACCTGAACAGGCAGCTTAACCTGCTGTACTGCAATGTCTCGCCCTCACCCCACTCCATGTTTCAGTTCTTAGTTGCCTCAGGGGAACTGGGCCCCCGGCAGTGCTAACACCAGGCAAGTCCATGAGATGAACAGATAGCTCCAGCCCAGTTCCACCTAACTTGTGTAACAGCCTTGTGTAACTCCCTAGGCACACACACTGAACATGGCTTATCTGCCAGTGCCCTGACAGCCCCACACCAGACTCGTCTTGACACCTTCGACTGAACATCTCCAAACTACCTTCACTGCTTCCATTCCCTAAACCAGCTTTACTTGCTGCTCCCTGGTTTCAGCAGAGGGTGACTCTCATCTCTTTCAGCAGGTGATGCAAACAACATTGCAATCATCTGTGACTCCTCCTTTTCTCAATCTTTGATATCCCAACTCTCAGGAAATGCTGCGGGTGCTGCTTTCAAAAGGCACCTGCGCCGAACCACTTCCCACCAGCTTCACTGAACAGCACCTCCTTCCTGATGACAGCAGCTGCCTCAGGAGCAGCTCTGCCACTGTCCTGCTCAAGCAGCAACAATGCACCAAGGCTCTGCTGTCTACCTTCATACCTGACTCGCAGGTACTCACTGCTCTGCATCTCCTCTGTGAGGCTGCTCCTGGCTTTCAGGTCTTCATCCTGCAGAGTTCCCAAGCCAGATCTCTTCTACCACCATGTGCTCCAGCCTCTATCAGTCTGCGCTGCCTCCTGCCCCAGTGGCTTCTTCATGGGCCTCTGCAGTGCCCAACAGAAGTTATCGATGAAGCATTGCCTCCTCCCTGCAGAGGGAAGCTCCAGCAGGCTGACACCTGACTTTTCCAGCGACATCTGCAGAGCCCACAACCAGGCTGGCTGTACCTACTGAGCACATCTGTTTTACATTACTCTGTCATTATGCTGGTATTCACACAAGTAACAGGAGACAAGCTACTTTTTTGGAGTTAAATAAAATACTTCCAATTCTTCCTCATTTCAACATTAAATACGAAAGTACGAGATAAACAACCTTCTGGGGTATTGTGTGTTCAAACTCCACTAGGGCTGTGCATAGGTGCTGTGGCAGCAGGAACTTAGGATTTCATTAGTAGGAAACCTGATCCCAAGCAAAGACAGGAGCTGAGCCAGGCATACAGCAACACAGGGACTGAAGTGGCAGTTCAAGGTGGTGCCCCAACACCAGCCCCAAGTCCTCTTGGTACCATCCCTACGTCACTGTGTTGTTTGAGAGACACAGACAGGGAAGGAGTGAGCTAGCTCCCATACGTGGGCTCCCTTTCCAAATTCCCACAACATGGGTGGAAGAAGTGCAAACCAAGCATCCAGGGCTCAATTCAGGCCTTCTGGGGTCTCCCTTATAGGGATGTGGGACAGAAGCTAGGGTCAGGTACTGAAACTGAGAGGCAGGGAACAGAAGCTCTATCTGCTGGGTCATTGTTGAAATGCCCACACCAGCTGGCCCTGGGCCAGCCTGAAGCCAAGAGCCAGAAACCCAATCTGGGTCTCCCATGTGGGTGGCAGGGACACACACACTTGAGGCATCCTCTGCTTCCTTCGCAGGTCTGCATTTGCAGAAAGCTAGAAATAGGAACAGGGCTGGTCCTTTAGCCTAAGCACTCCAACACTGGATGTGGGCATCTTCACTGTTGTGCAAAATACTCCAGTTCATAACTGGCATGTTGACTACTACACTAAAATCCTGCATCACTGCTTTCACTGTTTATTTATTTCCATTTTATTTTAAAGGCAGGGGGAGGGGAGGAGAGAGTGAGAAAGTAAGGAGAGGAAAGCAAGTGTGCCAGATAGCCACTCTATGGCAGAAGTTTAGAGCTTCTCACATGTGTGCACAGGACAGAGAACTTATCTGCTGTGGCTTTCCAGGATGCAGCAGTAGGAAGCTGGATTAGAAGTGGAGTGGTCACTACTGGATGTGGGTAGCAGCTTAAACCCTGTGCACAGTACCCGTCTTGCCATCTCACTCTTTAAGACAAAGACAGGAATCTATAAAACATACATATGTAAACATCCTCAAGAAAAATCGCAAGCTCACAGATCTGTCCTACTGTCTATTGGTTCCCAGGACTACTAGACAAGATCAGCATGAAGTCCCTGGTTCTGTGGTCCCAGGATCACTAGACAGGATCACCGTGAAGACCCAGGTCCTATGGTCCCAGGATCATCATGAAGGTTCTGGTCCTGTGGTCCCAGGACCACTAGACAGGATAGGATCACCGTGAAGGCTCTGGTCCTGTGGTAGGAGAACCACCACGAAGGCCCAGGTCTCACGATGGAAATAAGTGTTACAGAAACAAGGTTGTTCTTGAAAAGGTCATTTTGCACCTGGCAGTACAGACTGAAGCCTGTTTTCACTTCTATTAAGAATCACAAATAGTAACACAAGCTCAAAGGAAAGAATCCTTGCGTCTTGTGGTTTAGCATGTTGGTTTAAGGGTGTATTTTCTCTGAAAATATTCAAATTGTCCCCAGCCTGACTTACCACTGACAATTCAGGTCACCACTGAAAAATACAAGAGAGTCTCTGATCTGGGTTGTAGTAACAACAGAAACAACTTTTCTCAGAAGGAATTCTGAGGAAGAAGTCTTAGTGCCACAAAGTTCCTCCGACCTATAAAAGACACACCAAACAACGCAACTAATGTCAAGCGCACTTTGCATACTGACCAGACTCACCAAGAAATAACCCAGAAAACAGGCACAATAAACTAACGGCCCTAGGAGACGTGGGCAGGAAGGACAGAGAGAGGCAGGAGGAGGAGTAACGAATGCCCAGGGCAGTCTGCCCTCTGTTTCCGCCGGCCCCTGCCCTGTGAACACACAAACCAGTAACTTTAAAACTGTAACCACAAGAAGCAGTCTTTTAAAATCTCCAGTGTTCAATTCTCTGAACATAAGACTTCAGTCTGAGTAAATGTCCTTTCACTAAGTCTAAATACCATGAACTGAATTAAGACTATAACTTTAAATTACAATTTTCAAATAAACATCTTCCATGAGTGACTTAAAAAAATTTTCCCTTTTCAGCTTCATTTTATTACACTTGTAAATCATTTCATTTGCAAATCATAAGAAAATAAAAAATAACAGCTCTAAGGCTTACAGATGACCCAATCTCAGCGCCCTGTCTCCACATTCCTGGGCACAGAACTAAACACACACACAACTGAACAGAGAACTGAACACACTCAGAAACAGTAAGTCCTCATGGCTAGAGTTCTTAACGTGTGCCATCCAAGCACAGACCCAACTTTGCACTTCTGGCTTCAGTTTTGATATTTTGCAAAAATATGCTGTAGTTTTTTCAAA